GGCCGTAGAAGGTTCTTAACCCATCAGCAGGACCAGCATCTCCTCCTTTGTGCAATAAGGAACACGATGAGTACTGCCAAAGCCCCACAAAATGACCTCTAGCAGGCCACTGGTGTGAATGTCTCTGAACAAACAATCAAAGATTTGATAAGGGTGGCCTGAGGTCCTCTAGTGGGCCCTGTGCTCACTACCCGGGCACCATAGAGTTCGATTGGCATTTGCCATTGAACACCAGAATTGGAAGGTCTGCCACTGGTGCCCTGTGCTTTTCACAGATGAGAGCAGGTTCACCCTGAGCACATGTGACAGATGTGAGAGGATCTGGAGAAGCCATGGAGAACGTTATGCTGCCTGTAACATCGTTCAGCCTAGCCGTTTTGGTGCTGGGTCAGTGATGGTCTGGGGAGGCAGTAGGTCCTGGGTTCCTCCTGGTGCATGACAATGCCTGGCCTCATGTGGCAAGAGTATGCAGGCAGTTCCTAGAGGATGAAGGAATTGATACCACTGAATGGCCCCCATGGTCACCTGACCTAAATCCAATAGAACACCTCTGGGATATCATGTTTCGGTCCATCTGATGCCGCCAGGTTGCACCTCAGACTGTCCAGGAGCTCAGTCATGCCCTGGTCCAGATTTGAGAGGAAACACTCCAGGACACCATCTCTTGTCTCATTAGGAGCGTGCCCCGACATTGTCAGGCATGCATACAAGCACGTGGGGGCCATACAAACTACTGAGTACCAACAACTATGTAATTCTCGGTGATTGTACACTCAGATTGTATAGTGTACGGTCAGCCTATCACAGGCTATATATATATATATTATATATATATACACATACACACACACACACACACATACGGTCAGCCTATCACAGGCAGTATAGTGTGTGTATACAGCGTACGGTCAGCCCATCACAGGCAGTGTACTGTGTATATACAACGTACGGTCAGCCCATCACAGGCAGTGTACTGTGTATATACAACGTACGGTCAGCCCATCACAGGCAGTGTACTGTGTATATACAGCGTACGGTCAGCCCATCACAGGCAGTGTCACACAGCGTACGGTCAGCCTAGTGTGTACTGTGTATATACAGCGTACGGTCAGCCTATCACAGGCAGTGTACTGTGTATATATACAGCGTACGGTCAGCCTATCACAGGCAGTGTACTGTGTATATATACAGCGTACGGTCAGCCTATCACAGGCAGTGTACTGTGTATATACAATGTACGGTCAGCCTATCACAGGCAGTGTACTGTGTATATATACAGCGTACGGTCAGCCTATCACAGGCAGTGTACTGTGTATATACAATGTACGGTCAGCCTATCACAGGCAGTGTACTGTGTATATACAATGTACGGTCAGCCTATCACAGGCAGTGTACTGTGTATATACAATGTACGGTCAGCCTATCACAGGCAGTGTACTGTGTATATACAATGTACGGTCAGCCCATCACAGGCAGTGTACTGTGTGTGTACAGTCAGTCTATCACAGGCAGTGTACTGTGCATATACAATGTACAGTCAATCACAGGCAGTGTACTGTGTATATACAGCGTACGGTCAGCCTATCACAGGCAGTTTCCTGTGTATATACAATGTACGGTCAGCCTATCACAGGCAGTGTACTGTGTATATACAATGTACGGTCAGCCTATCACAGGCAGTGTTACTGTGTGTGTACAGTCAGTCTATCACAGGCAGTGTACTGTGTGTATACAATGTACGGTCAGCCCATCACAGGCAGTGTACTGTGTGTGTACAGTCAGTCTATCACAGGCAGTGTACTGTGCATATACAATGTACAGTCAGTCTATCACAGGCAGTGTACTGTGCATATACAATGTACAGTCAGTCTATCACAGGCAGTGTACAGGTCTGCAGCCCCCTGACCCACCTTGACAGCGAACAGCTTGCTGTTGATCTTCCTGCGGGCCAGATACACCTTCCCAAAGGCGCCCCGGCTGATGGGCTTCACTATGCTGAAGTCCTCGATGGAAGGTGGCTGCGGGACAGAGAACTTCTTCTCTCCGCACAAGGACGAGTCCCTCTTCTCTGCCGTGTTCACCTCCCCGACCCCCATCCTGCCCCGCACACCCTGTGAGTCCGCACTCCGCCACTCCAGTTTAAATTCGAACCACGCCTCTCCTAGACGTCATCCACCGTTCCCACCAATGGGGTGTGCGTCACATAGCAGGACATGACGGTAGGATGCAGAGTGATTATTGGTGGAAGCATCTGAAGCCACGCCTAATACACGCTCCTACTGCGGCCATCTTGGTGCTGGGCAAAACATGCTTGTGCTTGTTTGTGAGCGCTGTAGTGTGGGAGAGCATTATAACAGCTCCACCCCCAATGTTCTGCATTTTTTTACAGCTGAAAGTAGAACTATAGACAATTTTTTATTGTGGTTAGAGTAAGGGTTGCAGTCAGGATGCGTTTCTGTGTGTTTTTGGTGCATTTTTGATGCGTTCCTGTTCTTTCCCCCCTCCCTTTTTCTTGAACTTAAATAAGGATATGTGCATTCCGATGCATTTTTGGTGCATTTTACTGCGTTCCAATACAGTTCAGTACAAAAAAAAATGCAGCATGTTCTACTTTTTTTTCTGGAACTGGAACTGACCACACTGGTGTGAACTATGCCATTGGAAACCATGTAACCTACTATCAATGCATTTTGATGCAGAAAAAAATGCACTGGACTGCATGTGGTGTGACGTGGCCCTAAGGGAGGGTTATAAACCCTGTCAGAGTAGTTTTTGCCATCTGTGTCCCATGTAAGAGATTTACCTTCACTTCCTGTCTCATAGCCAAAACAGGATAACTATGCAGAACAGCACCGGGCGTCTGGAACAATCAGTTACACTAAATGTTGGTTTAAATAAAAAATAAATTCTATATAAGTATGTATTCTTGACTCGAAAAAGTCCTTTCTTTTACTTTCAGCCTCATCTAAATCTCCAAACTGCGTTTTTTTTTTTTCTCTGCTGTGATCTGACTTTCTATTAGAGGGTGACTACGTTCATTCTCCAGTCTTGTATGTAGAACCGTAGTCACCTTCTCTTGCTTACTTCCGAACTGCAGTATGGACTATGGGATTTGTAGTGTGCATAGAGCAGTGCCCATGACTCATGTGACCTGATTGTTTCAAACAAATGGAAGTGATGGGGAAAAGGAGAGGATCAGGAGCTGACAGAGGCAGTCACAGAAAAGCACAGAAAGAAACAATTTTTGGAGAACTAAAGATAGCGTTTAGTGACACGTTAACAGGTATATTTTTGCTCTGATAATCCAAAACACTTAAATATTATTATTATTATTACATCGAGTTTATATAGCGCCAAAGGGTTTGCTCAGCGCTGTACAATAGAGGGGGGGGGGGGCAATACATGAAACAAACAGTACAGCAACAACAAACAGCACACGAGGGGTTAGAGGGCCCTACTCTTTCGAGCTTACAATCTAGGATATAATGCCCCTGCTATAGGTGTAGGCCACCCCTCACCTCACCCCTTCAGTCTCCTCCTCACCTCACCCCTTCAGTCTCCTCCTCACCTCACCCATTCAGTCTCCTCTCGCATTACTAACCCACTAAGTGACATATCGGCATGGATGTCACTCCACTTCCTCAAACTCAATCTTTCTAAAACGGAGCTCATAATATTCCCCCCAGCCCGTGCCCCCTCCCAGGACTTCTCCATCAAGATCAATAACACAATCATCATTCCCTTTCCTCATGCCAGGGTACTAGGTGTAATCCTGGACTCCCATCTGTCATTTCAGCCCCAAATCCAATCACTGTCCAAATCTTGTAGACTTCACCTCTGCAACATCTCCAAGATACGGCCGTTCCTAACCTCGGAAACCACTAAGCAACTTATTCACTCCCTTGTTATATCTCGCCTTGACTATTGTAACTCCCTCCTCATTGGCCTACCGAATCGCAGGCTATCCCCTCTTCAGTCTATCATGAATGCTGCTGCCAGACTCATCCACCTTACTAACTGTTCCGTATCTGCCATCCCTCTCTGCCAATCCCTCCACTGGCTTCCCATTGCCCAATGGATAAAATTCAAAACATTAACAATAACATATAAAGCCGTTTATAACTCTGCCCCAAATTACATCACCGATCTTGTCTCCAAATGTCACCCAAACTGTACTCTCCGCTCCTCGCACAACCTCCTGCTCTCTAGCTCCCTTGTCTCCTCCTCCCATGCTCATCTCCAGGACTTTTCCAGAGCTTCCCCCATCCTCTGGAACTCTCTACCCCAATTTATCAGACTATTACCTACTCTGCTCACATTTAGGCGATCTCTGAAAACCTATCTCTTCAAGGAAGCCTACCCTGCCCTCAGCTAATACTGGAATCTTCTACTCTTCCAACCAGTCCATCCCCCACAGTTACTACCTTTTGTACCACTAGACCCTCCCTCCTAGATTGTAAGCTCCAAGGATCAGGCCCTCATATCCCTCTTGTATTGAACTGTTTTGTTGCTGTATTGTCTCCCATTATATTGTAAAGCGCTGAGCAAACTGTTGGCGCTATATAAATCCTGTATAATAATAATTACATACCTCACAAAGCCTGACCTGAAAACTCCTAGGATATTGCTAAGAGAGGCCCAGCTATTACTGTTCCCCTTCACCATCATAGGAATTAGATCTTTCTCTGATTCAAACCCCCTTGCATGTGCTTTCTCTCTCCTGATGCAGTAGCTTTGAGTTCAAAGTCTGAGAGCTCACTCGTGTGATGGTGAAGGTGAACAGTAATGGATGGATCTCACTTAGCAACGTCCTAGCAACATCCTGAGAGTATTTCAGTCAGGTTTCATGAGGTACCTAAATGGCCTACATTGATAGCAAGGGCATTAACCGTGTCCCATCCACCCTATAGCAGTAATACTGCTACAGGGTGGCACGGGTGCGCAAAATCACGTGTATATATGCGAATTTGCATTTCCGGGTAGAGGCGCTCCCTACCCATGCCGCTATTTGCGGCCTTTGGCTGTCAATCACCGGGTCCCGGTTGGTGATTACTCGCCGACAAACGGTGATCGAGGAGGATTACCAACAGAGGAAGAGAACTGTATCTAAACAATACAGATCTCTCCCCTGTCAGCTCCTGCACACTGCTATGCATGGCTTTGCATAGCAGAGCTATACAAAGCAGTGTGCTTACAGTGAAGCACACACACAGCACACAGTAAAATAGCACAGTTAACCCTTTGATCGCCGCAAATGTTAACCCCTTCCTGCCCAGTGCCATTAGTACAGTGTCAGTGCTTTTTATTAGCACTGATCATCGTATTGGTGTCACTGGGAATGTCAGTGACACCAAGTCAGTTCCCCCCCCAGTGTCAGAATGCCCGCCGCAGTCTCGCTATAGGTCGCTGATCGCCACCATTACTAGTAAAAAAATAAAAAATTCCAGTATCTATACCGCCATTTGTAAATGTTATAACTTTCACGCAAACCAATAATTTACACATATTGGCATTTTTTTTTAGCAAGACATGTCGCAGGATACATTTTGGCCTAAATTTATGACGAAATTTGATTTTTAAAATTTTTTCACTGGACATGTTTAATAGCAAAAAGTAAAAAATATTTTTTTTTGTCAAAATTGGTCTTTTTTTTTTTATAGCGCAAAAAATAAAAAGTGCAGAGCAGGGGCGTACGGACAACTCATGGGGCCCCCAGGCAATAGGGTATCATGGGGCCCCTGTGTCCTTGCCCAAACCCAAAAAAAGCCTATGAAAAAGGTACCGGGGGCATCTCATGGGGCCCCCTACTGACCCCAGGCCCTCTGGCAGTGCCTGAGTTTCCAAATGGTCAGTCCTGGTGCAGAGGCAATCAAATAACACCAAAAGAAAGCTCTATTCACTGTAAGCACACTGTTTTACACACTGCAGGGCCACTGTTAGATATCACGGGGCCCCGTACAGCCTACCTGATAGGCCCCACCACCACCACCGTTAGAGAAAATATCAAAATAATATTTATGGTAAAAATACACTAAAAACTTTATTAATGTACCAAATCCCTAAAACATTCCTGTTAGATCTAATTGATAAAACTGTACTGAGGTAATAAATAAAGTTCTGTGTGTAATTGAGGTCTTGGGGCTCATTCACATGGGTGCTGTGGCCTGTAGAGTGTGAATCAGTGGTTTGTTTATGTTGCTGGAGCCGCTTGGAGCCGTTTGCAGGCAACCTATGTTACACTATGGAAACGCTGCGGGTTCTAATTTGACAGGCATTTGAGTGCAGGTATACAGCCCTGAACTCAGACAGTGAGCATTCAGGGCCACTTCCCTGCGCCTGCACATCTGTCAGATGAAAACCTGTGTTCATACAGCTGCTGTGTCCCCATAGCATAGCAGGTGGCTCCAGCCACATGAACAACCCACTCATTCATGCTGCCCATGCTGTGTGAATGTGGCATTTTTGACAATTCTTTTTCACAGCCCATTCATTTCAATGGACTGCCTAAGGTGTGGGAACATGCAAAAATACTGCAGGCATATTATTTTAAAAGTGTGTTGCACCTAACCACTCAGTAGAGTGATGCCATGCGTTTTGGTGGCTGTGAATGCATCTTTGTTTACTAGATGTGTGGAGGTGCAATTAAGTATTCATGGTGCCTGTGCACATCTGCAAAGGGCATTGCATTTCTTTGCTGTGCAGGAAAATGCGTGCTGTTGCATGTGTTTCTGCATCACAAATGGTGTGAACAAGTCCTATGGGCCGGTTCACACTATACAAATGCACTCTAGATGTGTTCTGGATGCGTATTTGCATGTGCATTTTTTACGTGTTTTTAGTGCATTCTGGTGCATTTGTTATGCGTTTTTGACAGGTTCCAGTGCATTTTTTATGCATTCCAGTTAATTTTTTCCCCTCTCTTTCTTCAATTTAATTATGGACATGTACGTTTCAGTGCATTTTTGGTGCGTTTCAGTGCGTTATTGATCCATTTTACCATGGTACAGTACAGTTCTGTGCCGAAAAAATGCAGCATGTTCTACTTTTTTTTTTCTGCAACTGGAACACACTGAGACTACAAACACTGTTGTGAACTGTGACATTGACAACCATATAACCTACTTTCTGTGCATTTTGGATGCAGAAAAAAAGCAACTGAAACACATGTATTGTGAATTGGCCCTAAGGGCTGGTTCATACTATAGAAACGCAGTCCGGATGCGTTTTTGCATGCGCATTTGTGGCATTTTCTGGTTAATTTTTGATATGTTTTTTTATGTGTTCCAGTGCATTTTTTATGCATTTCAGTTATTTTTTTCCCTTTCTTTTTCTTCAATTTAAGTAGGGATGTGCATTCCAGTGTGCTTTTGGTGCATTCCAGTGCATTTTACTGTGTTCCAGTACAGTTCTGTGCAGAAACAATGCAGCAGGTTCTACGTTTTTTTCTGCCACCAGAACGCAATGGATTTGCAAGCTCTGATGTGAACTATGACACTGACAACTATATAACCTACTTTCTGTGCATTTTGGATGCAGAAAAAAATCAGCTGAAAGGCATGTAGTGTGACCTGGCCCTAAAGGTTATTATAGGTAAGGGAACGGGACTGACCAGGAATTGTGAATTCAATCAGACTAGTGGTGAGATACAATCAGGAATCATATAATAATGCAAGATCTGAGCTGTAGGTGATAGGAAATGGGACACATTATTTATTAATTACAGATACTTATATAGTGCCATCAATTTATGCAGCGCTTTACATATATATTGTACACTCACATCAGTCCCTAACCCTCAAGGGGTGTACAATCTAAGGTCCCTAACTCACATTCATACATACACATATTAGGGCCAATTTAGACAGGATCCAATTAACCTACCAGCATGTCTTTGGAGTGTGGGAGGAAACCAGAGTACCCAGAGAAAACTCACACAGGCAGAACATGCAAACTCCAGAGAGGAGGTGCCGTGGCTGGGATTCGAACCAATGACCCTAGCACTGCCAGGCGTAAGTGCTAACCATTTAGCCACTGTGCTGCCCAACTAGATCAGTAAATAAACAGTTAAATAAAAAGAGTTGGGTGGTGATACATAGATTTGCAGATGAAACAGGTGATGACAGTGGAGGAAGGGGGGGGGGGTCAAGTTGTAAAATGAGAGAGGTTTGTAGCAGTGAACAGAAAGGGATCAGCAGTCTGGGGGAGAGGAGAGAAACAAAGTTGCATACAAATGTAAACAGAAGGAAACTTGAAAGTGTCAAACTTGTGGAGCCGAGCAGGAGAGCCTCTAACATCACAACACTGAGCCGCTGTGTGATAGGATGACAGGAGGCTAATAATTTAATTTAGCACCTGCAGATGGGCTTGTCAGCTACCCAGGCCCCCCTCTGCAGCTGATGGGGCCGGGCCCCCTACAGGAGGGCCGAGGGTGCCCCCTTATCAGCAGCCCTGCTGATTTATATGACTCTGCTATGCAGAGCCATACAAAACAGTGTACAGGAACTGACAGGGGAGAGATCTGTATTTTTTACATACAGGTCTCTCCCCCGTCGGTAATACTTGGTTATCACTGGGTGCCTGCAAGTAAGCACCGACCGTGACCTGGTGATTGACAGCTGAGGCCATGAATGGCGGTGCAGGTAGGTCATGCGCATGGCTTGTACGCGCCCCCTACCCTGAAATGCAAAATCACGTATATATATGTGATTTTGTGCACCCCCGCCACGCTGTAGCAATATTTCTGCTATAGGGTGGAGGGGAAGCGGTTATCCTTGAAGTGATAGTAAAGTCTTGCTTTTTTTTTTTCTTAAAAAAAAACATGTCATACTACTGTGAGCAGTGGTTTTGCACAGAGTAGCCCAGATCCTCCTCTTCTCGGGTTCCCACCGGTGCTCCGGGCCCCTCCCTCCTGTCTGGTGCCCCCATAGCAAACCACTTGATATGGGGGCACTCCAGCAGGTGCGCTCCCAGGCCACAGCACTGCGTGTCCATTCCTACAGTAGCATGGAACTGACACTATGATCAAATAATTCCGGTGATTCCTCCGTGCATGATGGTGGGGCTACGGAAGGAGCAGCTATGGTGGACAAGGAGCCCATGGAATAGGCTGCTTTGACAGCTGCGGTGGAAAACAAACTAGTATGAGCTTGGGTGACAGAGGATGAGGAGAATGAGGATAGTTAGTTAGCCACTCCACCACCTCTTCTCCATGTTGTGGCTCAATAACACAGCTAGGACCAGAAAAAAAAGGACAAGCGTGCTCTGCCTGCCGAGGATACACTATGTCCACGACCACCACTTTTAACTGTGGACAAAAAGGCTGCTTGCCCTCTCTTAGCTGCCTGTGAGTGCCTGCCTCCCCTTCTTGGCCTTTTGGACATGATGGGTTTTTTTTTTGGAGATTTTTATAAATGTTTATCTTTGAGTGTGGGATGGGATTTTGTTGCTTTGGTGCAATACTTTTGTGCTCGGTGCACTATAAACCGTTTTCTTATTATTAGTATAGGGATGGCCATAGACACTGATGACGGATCACCTCCCCATATGTACACATGTATAGGGATGGCCATGCACATTTATTAAGGGGCACCTTCCCATATGTACACGTGTGTAGGGATGGCCATAGACATTGATGACGGGTCACCTCCCCATATGTACACATGTATAGGGATGGCCATGCACATTTATTAAGGGGCACCTTCCCATATGTACACGTGTGTAGGGATGGCCATAGACATTGATGACGGGTCACCTCCCCATATGTACACATGTATAGGGATGGCCATGCACATTTATTAAGGGGCACCTTCCCATATGTACACGTGTGTAGGGATGGCCATAGACATTGATGACGGGTCACCTCCCCGTATGTACACATGTATAGGGATGGCCATGCACATTTATTAAGGGGCACCCCATTCCCGTGTGTATGTACATTGATGACGTGTGTATAGGGATGGCACATTTATTAAGGGGCATAGTACATTGATGACGGGGGTCACCTCCCCGTATGTACACATGTATAGGGATGGCCATGCACATTTATTAAGGGGCACCTTCCCATATGTACACGTGTGTAGGGATGGCCATAGACATTGATGACGGGTCACCTCCCCGTATGTACACATGTATAGGGATGGCCATGCACATTTATTAAGGGGCACCTTCCTATATGTACATGTGTGTAGGAATGGCCATAGACATTGATGACGGGTCACCTCCCCATATGTACTCATGTATAGGGATGGCCATGCACATTTATTAAGGGGCACCTTCCCATATGTACTTGTGTGTAGGGATGGCCATTGACATTGATGATGGGTAACCTCCCCATATGTACACTTGTATAGGAATGACCATAGATATTGATGTCGGGTCACCTCCCCATATGTACACTTGTATAGGGATGGC